GCTGCCGGCGACAACGCCTTCGGAGGTCGGTGTTCCGGTCGGGTGGCTCAGCACGGTGTGGACCGAGTTTGCCCGCTGATAGGGTGGATACATGCTCCCCACCATTGCATTATGCTTTTGTTGCTTTGCCTTGATTATCTTTCTTTTATTTCCTCCATTCTTTGCTGATGATTGAGCGATCCTTCGTCTGTACCATTATTCCTTATGTGCGGCTTCTGTATTGTATGAATATGTATGCGCGCTTCGGCGGACTGACGAGACCACGCGACACTTCTGGGATTGACGCGATGTTTGAGGGAACGCGGGAATTTCTTTTTTGTTTGTTTTCGAACTTCGGACACCTGGTCTGGGAAAAAATTGGCATGCGAGGGCCGGATGGGTTCTGATTGATGCGATTTGGATTTGATTCCCCTGGCGCCCCTGGTGCGGGTGACGAAAGGATGGAATGGGATGGGCCGGGTTTATAAATGTTACTTTGACAGCGCGGCGTCTGGCTGGTTGATTACCTCAGTATGGGAGCATCTAGTACCAGGACATTCTATCAATTTCGTTGCTTTCGAGAAGATAGCATTCTGTTAACTGAGTAGTTGTAGGCTATCCTTATCTAGATGTCTAAATGTGGGGTGTCGGTGAAGCATTCTATCTGCTGTGGTAGATAGTATTGCCATGTATTATCTATCGTCTAAATGCTGCATCTTCCATCAAATAGTCAGTGTGGCCGAGTGGTTAAGGCGATAGACTAGAAATCTATTGGGTTCGCCCGCACAGGTTCGAGTCCTGTCGCTGACGTTTTTTTGTTTTTGTGTTTCCTGGCTCCACCTCGGGTCGGTTCCACGGGAGCTTCAATTTAAGTTCCCGATCGATAGTCTGTTAGTAGTTAGTTAATCGTCGCTCAACCATGTGGTTTGCGGGTCAACATGTGACTATGACATGATGTCTCTCTCTTTTTGTCTCATGTTTCCACACTGTCATCATCAAATATCAGGATAGTTATCACATTGCTTTCCATTCAAGTTGGATTCTCGTGTGTTGTTTTGGATGTAATGAACAGTCAGGTAATCTAACCATTAAATATATATTCTGCTGTTACTACAGCCTACGGACGATATATCAAATGTTGTTCCACATTTATGTCTTTCATTGAGTTACTATTATTATTGTAAGTTACTAGAAGTGTTTTTATACTAATAGACAAAGTTATCGAATTAAAGCATATAACGTTGAATTAATCCCCCAGAAAAAGCTTAATCGCCACGCATCTGGAAACTACTAGACACTAGCGCAGGGACTGCGTGGTTATGTGCATGATTTTATCTTATCTGCATATCTATCATAAAGATTAGGATATAATAGACCGGAATACTTCATTATTAATCTTACTCACATACTTCAAAGTGCATAACTCCTTAGATTAATTTCATAACCATCCTAGGCCGTATATATCTTCCATTATTATAGTTCACTGATAGGCCCTTAGTAAAAACCCCGGATCTCGAACTAATTTATGTACCGCATCCAAGCATTCCCGTTGACAGACATTCATCCATGTCTAGAGGTAATTCTTCACTCTTCCAGCGATACACGTCCCTTTAGTCTCTATTCCGAGAAACTAACCCATCATTCTAGGTAGGCAAAGTATATTTTTTACCTTCCTACTGACCATCTCGTTGGTCGTCGCTGTTGCGACCATCTCTGTCGCGTTGTTTACTCGGATAGACCTGATTCCTCAGTATCATCTTACGCTGATACCTTACTGTGTCTGGGTCCACATAAGCACTGCTGACCCTAAGTAGCTTTCAAGTTCTCAACTGGGTCGGTATCGATAATATCTTTTTGTTCAAGTCAGCACTCATATTCGTCCATATTGAATCGCTCAGATTTGTTAAATATATTTTTAAGTGCTTAGCACGGTCGGAATTCTTTGTTTGTATATTGTATCTTTGCATATTGTAAATATATGGAAGACACCGTTCGCGATAGGTCACTTCGCGATGAAGAATAACTAGATGCGGGATGGATCTTTGGTGCTTGTCCCGAGTAGATAGGACATCCAGAATGGGAAGAGCGGACGCTGGTGGAGGGGGAGTCAATTTGCTTTTGAGGTTGGTTGGCTTCTGACTCTGGGGTGTTTTTTTCATGGGGTTTTCTGTAGATCAGTGTTTGTGGAGTTTGTATCTATTTATGTCCACCATGCTGACATCTTCCTTGATGTCCCTTGATTGGCTAATGGAGGTAGGAAGTAGAGCGAATCCTCTTATTATGACGAGTTATTTGATGAGCTGGACGATGGGGTAACTTTACCTGTGGTGTCTGTGGATATGCTTCCGATTGTTTTCACTGTCAGGAACGATACTAACAGGATCTCCGGACGACGCTCTAAGAAGGATCATCGAGAAAATAATGAGCTTAGGAGAGACCCTTCAGGCCTTTAGGGGGCGCGGCCGAGTGCAGTTGTCATCGTAACGATTGACTGTGCAATCCACCCAAGCATTCCGCTAAACAGGTTATCTTGTCCTCTTAGACCGTTAAACCAGCGATTTTCCAATCATGATGTGTCTCATTGGCTCATATAATAAAGCAGATTAAACCAGAATCTGTCCCGATTATCATGACCTACCAATATCGTACGAACTGCTTCTTCTTGGGCTTAACGGTAAGGTTCCCAACGAATACCAGAATCTGACTTTCCCGGCTGAACCCAACATTGAGCCGTTGCTAGTCGGCAATTGAACCAACACTGTTGAAATTTCCCGACACCTTCGTCAGCATGAAGTTGACCATGGGAGCTTCTTAACTCTAGTATATATATCAATCATTAGTAAAAATGTCACACACCCCAACGCATGAGCTTTCCGACCAAAGCTCGCAGACCCGCAATCAGCGAAATAAGCATGACATCTTTTGGACGAATTCGTTGACCATCATTCGTCCGACAGGCGAACACGTTCTTCAGAAGGTGCACAGCCACCAGTTCCTGCGACTGGTTGGACCACGACCAACTGTGATCGATAATAAGAGCATTGTCGATCACGTTGATGAATAGGCGACGAAGTCCTACCACACTTTACTAATTGTTGGAACAATTCCGTGAATCTTTCGAAGATGTTCGTCCAATACCTTCCCGAGTCGCTGTATGAAGTCAGCATAGGCACCCGAATCAGCTTGTTAAAGTAGATTTTCGAAGTGAAGATTTCGAAGATGTGGCTGTGATTGCGATAGTTGGTTAATAGCATTATGCATGAGAGAATGCATTTTATAGGCTCTCCATCAAGGACCTCTTCAAGTACAATGCGCCCTTCTTGGGCGGTGCAATGATATTCGAGTTAGCAAAATTAAGTACGTGTAACCAATCAAGACAATTGCCTTAGTCGTTGGTATCCGAATAATGGTGGTAATTTCGTCTTCCTGGCATTGACTTGCCTTGTCGCAGCCTCCTTCGTGCATTGATGAATGAATCAAAAGTATATCAGAACTAAGAAGATCGAATATTTAGCATATATGAAAGAATGAGCTGTTCATCTTTTCGAAGAGCAAACGCCACCACAGCAGGCTCGAAAGGTGAACGTCTAATAAACATCCAGTCAATAATTGTTCTGTTCGAGACACCGACGACACACCATTCGTAGTCCCCCTTGATGCCTTTTTGGTACCCATTAAACAGCATTAATTGCTTGTCTGCTGTAAGTCAGTTTGACAAAGACCCACCGTACTTGTCGGTGATAGCGTGATCTCTGCTGTATCGAGCTTGAGGAAGTGAGTTTGAACATTCTGTAGCTAAATATTGTTATCAGTCATTTGGTCATGACCTATTGTGGTATCGAGTTTCTATCGTCGCATGCGGAACCGGACAAGCTGGCTACGTCAGCCTCGTAATCACTCGTCCCGTTGGAAGACTTTCACCACTGCCTCAGCAAGATTGTCCACAACCTTCATTGGACCCAGTAACCAGAAGAGTCTTGTAACTAAGAGCCGTCATTGAGCAGACAATAACATTGGTTGTACTGGCTTGTACATTTCCCGGAGGACGTTGGATCATGCTAACGCCGCAGACTACCTCTATCTGCAAAATAATAAAAGCCTCTCGGTTAGCATCGTCAAGTGTGACAGTCTCCGAAATGTGTTACAGCCTCTATTGCTGAAGCTTCGGTATCGCAGTCGATATTTTCCGAGTGTCAAGGAAAAACTAGCCTCGATTACCAGCCTCGAGCTCGGTTCCATGCGCAAGAAGTGTGCGCCTTAGCGAGAACCCCTGGTGAAATTGGTGGGCCCAGTTCGTGGCTCAAACTTCTAATTGTGGCTTTTGCTTTTGCGATGTAAAGAGGCAAATTGTAGCGATGATATCATTGCGCCGTATGTGACTGGAGGCGCGTAGTGGTAGATCGTCCATGTCGTACTAATGTACCAGCGAGGTTCTTTAGCGATTAGCGCTCGTGTGGCGTGCAGGGAGTCAATCAGGGTATGCTTGTTAAACTCGCTGAGGTTGCACAGTAGTTCATATTCCCAACTGATGTATGCTTTCTGGAAATCTCGCATTTGTTGTTCTGCATTGACTTGGGGCTTGACTAAACGAGCGAGGTATAATAAGAAAGTATTTCGGCTAAGCTAAAGCTCGGAAACGCGGTCAGTGTACGGCGGCATCAGCTAGATGCTTGATTCCGCTATCTTCTGTCCATCGGCTGTAATGATAATCACCAAATCTACCTGGGTAATTGCCATCTAGGCGTCCAAGAAATTCTAGTCAGCATATGAACGTGACAATCTCTAACTTCACCTCAATCGGTGCACGTTTGGGATAGTGTCTGTCACCTGGAGGACAGAACCGGCAATAGAGTCACTCTGAGTGACGGCTCTCAATTCGCTTAGTTTTGGACATTTTCGCATGAAGTAGTAGATATGCCAAAGATAATTTGAATTGCATTATGATGCTCTGAATTTTGAGATCAACCCGGTCATGTTCATGGGAAAGGATACACATATCTACGACCGCAATAGAAGATTTTAAAGTGGCTAAACAACCAAGACAGAGGCTGGTGACTGACTGAAAACTGACATGTCAGTTGTCACGCTCGCTTATCTCTTTTCTCTTTATTAATTGTGTGTTTAGCTGCAGTATCGACTATCCATGTACATGCGGCCTTGTGTTGCATTACATGGTGATTTTAGCGAGCCTGAAGGACTCGACAGCGTCGAGGATCATATTGTTGTTTCAAACATTGAAGCACCCAGTAAGACATCCTAGCAGGCCATATCATATGAACTGTGTCGAGTTCAAAACTAAACCGTCGTGCGGCTCCGCTGTCCTGAAAGTGCGGTGCCCAAGATGCGTACTATTGACAGCCCAAAATCAATATCTGTGCACCATGCCTCATGCCGCCAGGTGGGATCGAGGAACCGATGAGCTACCCCTGACATTGTGGAGACGCCCTCATTGGCGAGACCATTATCGTACTCAGGCTTGGTTCTCTGTTGAGTGGATGCATCGCCAACCAGGCTCTGTCGATTTTGTAGGGGAGAATCTTGGCTGCGGGTCTATCGTGCCGCAAATGTCTGACAGCGCGGATCGGTATGCCATTGTATGTGGAGCCCATGTACCAGAGAACCCTTTGGGATGAGTGTCCTACAGTCACCGATTGAATTCTCCGATCGAAAGTCGCCGACCATTAAGATCATGTCATGGTAAAGGGCGAGCTCGAGCTTGACTTTGGCCTCGCGGGAGGTGTACCGAGGAAAAAGCTAAAATTTTTCTCTGCTTCTCGCCGCGGTCATTCTTTGAGGTCGTGATATGAAGAACACGCGGTCGCTGTCGTCGTTGTTATCATTGCTGCTGTTATCATCGTTGTTGTTGTCATTGTCAGTGTCATTGTCGTCATCATCATGATCGTCGTTGTTGTTGTAGTTATTGTCGTTATCGGTGTCGTTGTCGGTGTCGTTGGAGTTGTAGTTGTCGTCGTCTTTGTCGTTGTTATTGTCGTCTTCGATCATCATCATCGAAGAACACCAGGCGGTGGGAATTCACGCAGAGCCATGGGAGATCGTAATGGTGCTCGGTGGCAATTGATTCTGAACCATGGCGACAGTTCCACAATCCTTCTCATTCCCAGAGCTCGTAATGCACCAGACTGTGCGGTCTAACTATCCAATCCATCGCGACCGTAACCACCTTATAGCTATCTCTATAATCATGAGAGATAGCTAGATCGCAATCCCACCAGTCGAAGCTCTTGAGCGTACTCCGTACTTGTTAAGCTGCACACCCAATGGACTTAGGATCTTGGCACACGTCAACGCGCTTAAGCATCTTATGCCATTGGAGTGGACCCTGCCGACATCGCGACTGATTACTTCTCATCACGTTGATGTAATTATTTGTGTCGACTGTGCCAGAGTCCATAGCCAGGAAGATTCCCTGGAATTGGCAAATGACCTGTCACGGCCCTTTTTCCCTGGGCTGATGGATATGAAAGGCCATCGCGTGCGAATGCGATGCTGAGTTTCGCCACCTGTGTAATTCTCGACCAGTTGCGTGACTATCAGAATGCATGCACGTCATGCGATGGAGTGGTACTAGAGGTTCAAGGATAGTCGCTGTTCTGTTGGTGTTGGAAGTTGCTGGCAATGTCGTTGGCTAGTCGTTTTCAATAGCGCTCATATCCCACATGTCGTATCGCTTTAATACACTCTCGATATATTGGATGCCCGCCCGAGGCGAGATAATCTCACGTACGACTGAAGAATTGTCGAACACTCTGGCTTCTATGACGGCGAGGGGAATCGGTAGGCGATCTTTGGCTGAGAGATGGCAAACTTTGGCGTCGGAGGCGGAGCGATGGCGACAGACGGAGGCGATGAATTCATTCTGTCAAAGCCAATGGTTAGATGCAATGTTTGGCTGGAAGAAAATAGTTGGTGATGAACAACCTACCGGTCGGCAGAGAAGAAATCCAACCGGAACTCTCGAAGAGAGCCGGCAAGGGATTGTAGACCACACTCTCGAAGAGAGGTGGCTGAAATTATGTTAGTCGAGTGCTGGGCAATATGGAAAGCAGTTATACTTACAACAGGTTAAGTAGAAACCACACTCTCGAAGAGAGGTAGCTGAAAATCATGTTAGTCAAGTGCTTGACTCTTCGTCATAGATGGTAGTGTACTTACAACGGGGTTAGTAGAAGACCACACACTCGAAGAGAGGTGGCTTGGGGATTCATATCAGCCAAGTTCTGGGTGTATCTGAAAGACAGGAGCGCTTACAACGGGGTTTAACAGACCATCGCCTCTCAAAGAGAGGAACTGATAAAATGATCAGTAGGTTGACACGGGATAATGCATGTGAACAGACAGGTGTACTCACCGATATCTGCTAGGATAAACCGCACCCTCAAGGAAGGTAGCGGCTGAGGATATGAAAACCACATTCTCGAAGAGAAGTGGCTGGAAAACATGTTAGCCAGGTTCTGGGTATATCTGAAAGACATAGGTGCTTACCAGAGGGTTTGGCAGACCATCACGTCTCGAAGAGAAGCGCTACCATTATAGTCAGTGCATTGTTATGAAGTCTTTTTTGGCAAAGGGACATGTGTACTCACCGATATCTGCCGAGATATACCGCATCCTCGAAGGAATAGCGGCTGATACTGTTGTCAGCAGGTTGATATAACAATTCTTTGGAGACAAAGTGCTCACCAAACGTCTGGGACCAAAGAACATAGGAGAAAGACAAGACTCTCGAAGAGAGCTTGAACGAGTCCCTCTATAGACGCTCAGATGAATATATCGTACTCTCGAAGAGAGGCCGCTAGCGCCTGTCAGTACAATGTCATTTGCCCCTAGCCAATGGAGGCTCGTGTACATACACAGAGAAAGCAACGAAGTGAAACTCTCGAAGAAAGCCTTCTACTGGGTCAACAGGAAGATGTGAGTGTCAGACCGGACAGGAACGCTCACTAAACCTCGCCTAAATACACCGCACTCTTGGCGAGATGCGGCTAAGGCATGCTGTCAGCCAACTGGACTCTATAAAAACTTCGAAGAAACTGCCTGCGTCACGTACCCCTATTATGGAAGCAGCCAAACCGACCGACGCTCACGAGGAGCAAGACTACGTCGCGAGCAGTCATGGCTTGATTGTGAACCCGAATTCCACGGTTGTCTAATCAACACGCGAAACCTGGAGAATAGCCCTCTGGGATGAGGGTCGTACCTATACAGTAAGTTAGTCGGCTTCTTACTAGGACACAGTAGAAGGGGGGAAAGGAAGCGGAATGAAATCAGAGACGAAGAGGCGATGCTCAATAGAGTAGAGAGAAGAAGGGAGAAGATGGGAACGTGGGGGAAGAAGAAGTAGAAGAAGGCGTAAGCGAGATGGAGTATGACTGGTTTGCTGCCCCGTTGCCCTTTTCGGTGAGGGGCACAGCACGTGCTCTCCTGATCTCCTCAAATACAAGGCAGTCACTGACTCGTCTGGATTGGGAAGAAGTGTTGTACTGTGACCGGGCAAATACTCCATTAGGTCACAATACTGAGGACTACCGAAGTAGCAACATAAGATTTGAAAGACCCTTGTGGCAAACGAGTGCTCATCATGCAATACTTTGAAGAATCATCTCTACCGAACATAGTGTCTTTCACCAAGAAGGTAGACGTATTTTCTGATATACCAGCGCCTACAGCAAAGTACATGACCAAATGGGGAATATTCGCCACGAGAAACGTGGGACTGAAGTATAGTATAGCTGACGTATATGTTGATCATGGAAAGTAAATCGCTATTTAGAGCTGGATACTACAGAGGTTTGAGTCTTTATGAATTGGGACATTGAGAATATGGGAATATGATGAGATAACGAGAGGAAAGATGATGAAGAAGGGAAGAAGATTTGGGAGGAAAAGTGGCCGTATTTATATCCGTGGAGAGACGGTGACTGGCTTGCTTACAATGGTGAAGCATGATGCTTCGTGTGAAGGAATCTTTCATAGAATGCTCCTGCATTGACAGTATCCAACCTGATTACTGCACTTATCGCATTAACTCAACCCTACTACCACTTCATTTGACTCTATTCCCTCCTCCGCGTCAGTATCATGCTTCTGGGAAACCATGGTTATCGCCGTCTCCGAAATACTGACGTATCACTATAACATCACCACCCTCTGACTGCGTTTATACCACGGCCGAAGAAGATTGGAAGCCACACTCATTGCCGACTCGATAGGAATTTGGTAGACTGTGATAGCAAAGGACTTGGCACATAGATTTATTTCACTGCAGAGCCATTCATTTCTCAGTCATTCAATTCATAATCAGAAGAGATCTGGCACTGATGGGCTTCACCCAGGAAGGCTTCACTGTAGTCAATCTTCAATGTTCCCTCCTAAAATGCTTCCCAGAATTCATCCCTATCTTGGCCTTCACCCATGCTGAAATCCAATTCCATGTTCAGAAAACTGGGCGAATTGGATGAGCCGAAATTCGAATATTGGAAACACCGAACAAGTTATAAGCGCCAAAATATTCTTATGAGAATTTATCGAAAAGACTTGTCGGTTCAACATATTCGTTGTTCCTCGTCTTGATCCTGCTGCTTCAGCTACTATGCGTCAGTATCCTCAACATCGGCATCACTTAGCTGGCTAATATTAGCAGAAAATAGCTTGTCCTCATCCCTATAAAATAGGTAGGGGCTCTACATTTCCCCATCCATCAGCATCCGATCAATCTTGCTTTACCGACCTCCTCGCCAGCATGGCTTCCTGCTAACGCGTTGGATGAGAGAACTCCACGGGACGCCGTGTCTGCTTGCCCTTGAATCTCGACATGAAGAAGGCAACCTGTATGCTCCGCATGAATAACGCAAGGTCTGTGTGGATACACTTGCCACTCGCGATTCTTGTCAGAATGGGCGGCGGAGAAGTGGACATATCCCTCCATATATCACTGTTCACCGCGAGGCTGAGATGCTGTCTGTAATACTGACACTAATGATGGCTAGTGCTTACTGTGGGGATGTACTGATGCTTTGGCTTTATATCATTGATCCGAAAAGAACTGTACCGCAGGTCGGTTTGGCTTCGACCAATCACCCATGCAGTCTAATTTGGACTAAAATAAGTAGATAGCTCGGACGTTGGAACGAATCCCCACTCGTGCTGTTTTGTGCCTGATTTCCGCCCGGGGGATTTTCACCCCATCTCCCGCATGACCTCTCACCATCCTCCGATTCATAATCCTTTTTATTCCATTATCCAGCTTCTCTACCACCGCACACTCAGCACAATGGCCCTCATTGCCATTGTAGCCCTTCTATCTATCCTTGTAGGTATCTCCAATCTCTTCTAAGGAACCTGGACATCACAGCTGACAGCAACAGTACCTCACCACCCTCATCATCTACAACCTCTACCTCCATCCTCTCTCCAACTACCCCGGCCCTCTGCTCTGGCGCGCATTCCGCTTCCCTTTCATCCACGCCAACATCAGTGGCCACCTGCCCCATCGCATCCGGGAACTTCATACCCAATATGGCGACATTGTCCGCGTCGCCCCCGACGAACTATCTTTCCTCGACCCCCGAGCCTGGCGCGACATCTACACAGACCGCGAATTTGTCCGTCCCCACCAATACAAGGACCAACCACCCGGCAAGACTGCCGCGAACTTGATCGCATGCTCGGAGGAAGAACACGCCCGTCTTCGCAAGAACCTCGCCCCGGGGTTTTCGGAGAAATTTACCGCGTTGCAGGAGCCGATTGTCCAGAAATATATTGACACGCTTTTTAATAAGCTCGATGCGAAGATTTTTACTCATAAAAGCGAAAGGAAAAGTGCTGACGTGGACCTGGTGGAATGGATCAATTACCTCGCTTTTGATGTGATCGGCGATCTGACATGGGGTAGCTCATTTGGATGTCTGGAGGGACTGCAGTATCATCCGTGGGTGCAAACAGTTAGTCAGTTCAAAGCTGCTATCATTGTCGGGTCGATGAAGTTCTACCCTATGCTTTACCAGCTGCTTCTGGCTATTACTCCTGCGGATGCGTTGAAACCAGTTATGGAGATGTGGAAAGTCACAGACGAGAAAGTCGCACAGCGAGTGGCAGCCAGTTCAGCTGGTGCTACTTCAACCACACACCCAGACTTTGTGGGTACCATGATAGCGTCAAAGACCATGACGCAGGAAGAAATGGAAGTCAACTCGATGATGATTGTCGCAGCAGGAAGCGAGTCAATCACTACCCTCATCACTGGTATCATCAATTACCTCCTGCGAGAGAAGGACCAGAAGACCCTACAGACATTAGTGGGCCTCCTCCGCCAGACATTCTCCACAGAGCAAGACATAACAGCCACCCGGCTCAAGTCTCTCCCGTATCTCGATGCATTTCTCATGGAAGGCATGCGGCTTTGCCCGACCATCCCGGACGCGATGCGCCGACAGGTCCCGCGCGGTGGAGCAACCGTAGCCGGCCAGTTTGTACCCGAGGGGATGATTGTCTCTATCCCTCCGTTTTCCTCCTACCGCGCGGCACGGAATTTCACCCACCCGAATGAATTTGCGCCAGAACGATGGTTAGAAGAAGACGAGCGGTTCCGTGGAGACAGTGCTAGACAGAAGGAAGCATTCAATCCGTTTTCGCTGGGACCGCATAATTGTCCGGGGCAGAATCTGGCGTGGATGGAACTGAGACTTATTCTGGCGCGACTTCTCTGGAGATATGATCTTACTACGGGTGTGGAGTTGCCGATCTGGGAAGAGCAGGGGATATGGTGGTTTTGGGATAAGAAGCCGCTTGTTGTAAAGGTTCAACGTAGTCATTAGCAATTTTATGCCACGTGCGCTGTGTTTAGGTATAGACTGACTAGACTAGAGGCCGAATTATCTGGGTTAGGGTGATACTATAATTACTAGCTGGCAATATACCTCAAGTAAGTACGACAACCCATTCCATATCTTCATAATTCCGACCTCCTCCTACTTGATATGATATTCCTGTAGCCCCTCAAGAGCTCCCAGCCAAGGCACTAATCGGCGTCACACCAGGGAAGAACGACGCCGGAATGGTAGGAATCGGGATCGAAGCCGACGTGCCAAACGCGGTGGTCAAATCATCAGTCATAGTGGGGGCCTCGTATCCCGTCGGAGCAGAGTTCACATAAGTAGTGGTAGTGTAAGGAGTCAAAGTGCCAGTAGCAGAGTCGAGGCAGTAGCCGGACCCGTAGGCGTTCTTGCAGACATACTCATCGTAAGCACCTTCCTCAACCCACAGGTCGATCTGGACGAGGCTGACCGCAGTGCAAGGAGTGTCTTCAGGGCAGATGACCCGAATAGGCGGTCGGGTTTCACCGTCGACGGCGGTTCCCGTCCAGTTCTGGAATGTGATGTTGTGGTAGTAGATGCCGTCACCATCGATTGCATCCATGCTGCTCCAGTAGCTGTCGAAGTCGAGGGAGTAGGCGTTTCCGTGGCCTATTTCATCATTAGGATGCTGCTAGAGAAAAGATAGGGTTAGGTACCAATGAAGTTCTCAAAGACGACGTTGGATACATCGCCCGAGCCACCATTGCTCTTGATCATCATCATCTGGTTCGAGTCCCAGGTGTAGACATTGCGGTAGACGATGTTGCTGACGTTGGCGCCGGAACCGAGGGATCCGATGGCACATCCGCCACTGGAGTTGCAGTAGATGTTTTCGATCAGGAAGTTGTGGGAGTTGGTCTGTTGCGGCTGGAATTAGTACTTTGGCAAATGCAAAGTATGCTGTTCACTCACTTTGGTTGTGACACATTCATCCTTGTTGGTGACCATCATCTATCATATCTTTAGCTTAGCCGGAAACCAAATGAAGTATGAGGGACAGCGGTACACACATCGTGAATCCACATATTGTCACCATACACATCGATACCGTCCAGACCACCGTGGTCGGCACCGCGTATAGCCATATTGTACACTTCTCCATTGTAGCCGCCGTCAATGACGAAGTGGAACATGGGCGAGTCAACCAACACCAGGTCATGAACGGACCAATCCGACACATCGGAAATGTGCAGCATCCGGGGACCGGTGTAAGTATCATCACGGTGGTAGAGGTAACCGCTACCCTGAATAGCACCCGTTGC